GTTTATCAAAGTGTGACGCCACACATACAAAAGGAAACACCCGCTTTATAGTTGTTTGGATGGGTTTGGTAGTAAATCCATGTAAATCCCTTATGAACCCAAGGGGGCTGAGGGTCTAGGAGTATACCAAAGGGAGCTATGGTCGTCCCAACGGATCACACGGTTGTGCCCTTCTGATGAACAAAAGAACGCATTTGACCTCCTCAAAAGCGACCTAACAAGTGATTTGTCTCGTACGGGTCTTCTGCCTTGTTAAGTGCGTCTGCATTCCAAACACCAGTACCATTTAACCCATTGCCAGCCCACGCTCCAGGACACGACGAGGGCACGCTGGCTCCAGGGGACGGCAGTATGGCCTACATGACTGGGTTTTGTTGGGGTGTTGAACACCCAAAGCCTCCGGACTGCAGTCCTATGGTACAAGACTGGTGAGCTGGGGTGTTGAACTGGAGGCCACCGGAAAGGGCCATTCTGCCACCGACGTCGCGGGTTGTGACCGAGGTGATGTGCCGGTGAAGTCGAACCGGTGCTCCGGTGGGACTGGAATGGTAATGCATACAGAATCATACATGGATGGTCTGGATCTTGTGGATGATGATCATACCATGTCCATAACGTTTTTCACTGCCTGCCAACAACAGGTGGTTTTTGGACACCTCGACACACCTCTAAGAGGCTGTTTATAGACACCTCTTGATATTACATGTATCATACACCATGTATGACCCCAAGATGTAACTCTTCCAAACATGGATGGTCTGGGTTTCGCACCACGCATCCTTGCGGTTCGAACATCGAACCGCCCAGCTTGGGGGGCGGTCCCACCCCATGTACAGTTCCGCCTCGCTGTCGGTGTTGTTGTGGAGCGGCCGGCTTTTTGGAGGCCAGAAATCTCAATGGTCCATGGTAATCCACCCTAAACTTCCAAAACCATTAAACAAATGGTTGACCGTTGACCTGGTGTTTGTAGTGTAAATGACTGGTGGTTGGAAGCCTAGGGTCCATGGTATACATATCCGCAGACACTCCATGGATCCATGAGACTGCCATATAAGAAATGCCCATCAAGCCAGACCCTGCCTAACCACCACCACCCCTGGCCGTTTCTCGGCGATGCCAGTTTGATGGCAGTGTCTGGGTATGATAGAATCCCGAAATAGATGGAACGTATAGATCCCCATTCTAGTCCAGTGTTGCTTCCGTTTCGATCTAACTTCTTTTGGGGGCCACAAAAGAAGTCCAGTCTTGGGGATGGGGGAAGAAAAAGACCTCCTTTTCTCGAGCAAAACAGGTCTAAAGACCTCAGTGCAGTCCAGGCTCGTCTTCACCTTTGGTGGCTGGGCATCCTCAGTCCGAGTCCGCGAGCTGCAGCTCGCAAGCTGCTCGCTGGCACAGCTCGCGAGCTACGCGATCTGCTGTCGATTTGCAGTCCTGGGACCACTCCATAGGACTGGCAGTCCTATAGCAATTTTTTGGAGGGGCCAGGCCAGGGCCGGCCAGGGCTGGTTGATCGGTTGGTTTCAGGGGGTCAAGAAAACCAGCATCCGACCATCTCTATAGGTCATCTGCTTGGACTAACGCAGGAGACACCCCAAACAGGACACCCAGGACTGGGATGGTCCAGGTATGCAGCCGTTAAGGTAGGTCAGTCCCATGGAGCATCACTACCATCCACCACCTCTTGTATCTCTCCTTAAGACCACTCAAATCATAGGTGTTTCCAATTGACATCCAAGCACAGGATGTCGGGCTCCCGCTGCGCACATCCAATCAAACTGGACCTCAAACCGGGCGACAGCAACTGGTTGTAGAAACCCTTCACCCCCCCTGTTTGGGCGACCCAAACCATCCCAGCCACCCGAGGCACGAACCAGTCTGAGGGACCTCTGGTCTTACAAAGGAAAGCCAACCAAGCAAAATGGAATGACTACGACTCTACCTCTTTCTCAAACATCGCCAGCCTTACACCATCAATATAATAGGTCACCTCAAATCCTGGTCCAAAAGTGGTCTAAAAGCCACCCCAACATTGAGACTCTTGGAAGTTGTCTGAATTGTCAAATCCCAGGCGCCACGCCATTGGCATTGCTGAACTCCACCGCTGATTGACTTTTCTGCAGCTGACCTAGGCCCTGCGAAGCGCAGGAGCCTGCCACAACACCTGCTAGGGCTGCCGGCGAACGCTGGAGCAAGGGCTATATACTCAGCACAAACTTCAGGCTACTCACCATCCCATCAAATCTGCTCTGGTCTGGTCCAATTCATGTGAAGCTGATCCAATGGCAGATTCCATCCTATAGGTCCAGGCCATCCATCTGTGGAAGTAGTTCCATAAATCGGAGTAACATGTAGATTCTGTATGTAACTATTCCAGTCCCATGGATGTCCATCCATCCCAAATGGGCCAAACTCTTCGAAGCGCGGCGTGGCGCAAAACCCTATGGCCATGGCCGACATGGCACAGGGCTCGGTGCATCGCCGTTGGTGCTTTCCAGCACGGTCCCCGTCCTCTTGTAGCACAGTCCCGTCCGTCGGAGAAAAGGGTCCGGTCTGGAAAAGGTCCAGGTGCCAGTGCCGAAGATTGGGCGACCCGGGAGGTACTTCGAACTCATCCCATGCCCATGTGGTGTTTTTCAGGAGAATCCTGTCTAGGTGTCCCATATATAGAGCAGTAGTGAGTGTAGGGTAAGTCCAGCCGGGACGCCCAAACAGGATGCTTCTGATATCATTATCATGTGGCATATTGCTGGAGTCGAACCGACCCCACGGCGACCCCAGCCATCGACGCTGGCCGCCTCGGAAATGCACCGGATCCTGGCTGTCGAAATTCAAGATCGGCTCCTGAGGGAGTCAGTCGGAGTCAGTTCGGCAGAGCTCGCTCCCCGACGAGCTTCGGCCCCGAAGAAGTGAGCTTCTCCCAAGAAAAACAAGAGCAAAATCATGGTGTTCAAGCCCCAAAGCATCCATGGGACTGGAATACTGACTGGAATAGTTATATATACATTTACCTCATATATGAACATTGTGCACCTTAACCGATTAATTGATAAGAAATTCCTCCAATCCCATGATGGTCTGGGATGCATCAACACCGGCTTTCGAGAGCCTTGGGTCCTTTTTGACTTTTCTTCAAAGAAGATCTTGCCAACATGTGAGTGATTTTCCAAATCTCTGGCGACCAAGGGAACGACTGAAGAGCTGATCAGGAGAGAGACTAAGCCCCCGGGTTACCTCTTTCCATACTGAACCAACCAGGGGGGCCAACCCAAACCAGAATTATATACCCTAAAGCTCCAACTACATTCTGAGAAGGGTGCCAGGGGGGTCAACTGCCTTCTCAGGATGTGGGCCAGGAGCCCTAGAGATATTGTCCAGTCCTCTTGTCAGTGTTCAGAACTTGCGACATGAAGTCGACCTTCGACCTTCCAGCCTTCGAGCCGAAAGCAAGGCCAGCCTTCCCTCTTCCCGAAAGCAAGGGTGCCAACCTTATACAGTCAAAGACACCATTGTCACATATCTGATCACATCTGGAGTCTTGATTGGATACATCAGGAATCTGAGGCTGGGTACCACCAAAGCCACAGGTTGCTCAAGCGTACCACAGCGAGAAGATGCCATGAGTAAAACACAAGTGAGCTCCATCCAAAACGTTGCGCGAAAAAAGGGTCGTATTAACATTAAGACAGTAAGTCTGGCTTACGGAACACAGGCTTTGGCAGCATTGTGGGGCATCCTGTGTGGCGTACGCCAGGCTACAGGCACGAAAAGCTCAAAGCTGCACACCAATGAAGTTACAAATAAATAACAAAAGCATACAAAAGCCAACAAACATCCCAGTCCCAGTATGGTTCCTGATTCCTTTTCTTCACATTCCTACTCTTTCTGGTGTTCTACTATTGGATGAGTCAGAAGGCAAAGCGTGATTCTAGAAGCCAAGACCTGCAGCTATATGTAATGGTGGTAGCTAGGATCCAGTGAGCCCCATCATTGAACTTCGGTTTTTGATGAACAGTCCCATGCTTGAAACCCTGCATCCCCTTCGACCAAGCATCACTGGTGTCATTGACATCCTCGTTCTCCTAGTCAAGCTTTTCCCCAAAGGCTCCGGTTTCGTGAAAACAGCCCGGCCCGATCGACGTCCAGTCCCGACCGATCAGCATTGCTTCGATTTCGCCCCTCACCGGATCCGGAAACAGGGATCCTCCACGGAACGGATCCACGAACAACGGGTCCAACCGGGTGGTGGTGTGGTGTGTTTCACCCGTTGGTCGTGTTCCGTCGTGGGTACCAGTGCGGTGTTCGTTCCGTCCTTCCGTTCGAACGTGTGGCTGCTTCGGTGGGAGGAGTCCGACCACTCCGAAACCCGCCCTTCGGCCGAAAGAGCTGAGAGAGATGCGATGTGATGTTTTGAACATACAGCCCTAGGGACGGATCCACATACCGAACCTCAGGTTCGGAAAGGCGCCTACTTAAATAGTCTCCTTCCTCACCGTACCTGAGAAGGTATGACTGGATCCCTAGGGCAGGATTAATATGGACCAATTATACGTATGATCAGATTTTAACCTATTCATATTGTATTTACTATTCATATACCGCATTATATACACATCCTTACAATGTTGCCAAGATGTTTTGAGGTCACGGATGGTCACGGTATTGAGGTTGTTTTGAGGTATAAGTGTCATACAAGGGTCTAGCCGCTAGCCTCTTCAAAACTCTTGGCTCAGGTTCCATTGTAAAGGGCTATTGGTCGCAGCTTCGCACGCGGCCTGTGGTTCTTGTTGACGCCCCCCCCCTCAAACTCTCCCCATCTCCCACGCCCAACCCAGGTCCAGGTGTTAACAAAAACATGTTTTTGTTCTTGGACGTGCCCCAGCCAAAGCCCACGTTCGCACTTCCAAGAACCACCCACCGCCTCGTGAAAGACGGGCACGGTGGGCAGCTCGCGTGTGTGGCTGGAGAGGAGGTCTCGCGCCTCGGGCGGCGGCCAGCGGTGGGTCCGGCCGAGAAGGAGACGAAGTGCGGTGCCGACCCCTGTGCAGTGGTCAACCCCGAAGCCCTAAAAAGGATCCCGACCTTCTCCCAAGACAGGTGGGGCTTTGGAACAGAACACGTGACCCACCAAGGCGTGGCACAAGAGAGGCAGTGATTTTGGAGGGGGCAAAGAGAGGAAAGGGTTCGAAAACAACAAAAAAAACACCCACCAGCTTCTTCAAAGTGACCTTTTGAAGGTTCCTAAGTGACCCTGTTGGAGGCTTCAGTGACCTCAAACCAGGTTTCAAAGAAACACCCACATGTCCTGGAGGCTTGGAGACCAAGCTGAGGGTCTAAGGATCGGTCCAGGAAACGTCTTGGTCGGTCGGTTGGAGACGGGTCTCAGGATAGGTACTGGCAGCGGGTTTCAGAGGCTTCCATGGCACGAGTGGTGCCACCAAGATGTGATTGAGATAGGGGTCCATATATAAACCACCTTTTGGGTGATTGTGCCATCTACTCTGAAACCACGGTCAATAAAATATCCCAGTCCCATGGATTGTTGAGGAAGGGCAAGGGGCATATATGATTCTCCGTTACGTGATGTTACGTGGATGGCATGGCACTTTGACCATCAAATCCGAATACCGAACAGGTGGTAAAAACCACGTGATCTCCTGCGTTTTTTTTCTGAAATCGGCAGTGAATCAAGTGGCTGTTTGCGCTTCCAGATCATCCATGCTCACTGTGGGCGTCCTGGAACGGGGCGATGTGAAAAGCCCCAGCAAGGTGGAGGCCTCAGGCACTCAGGCAGTGACGGAGGGACGGCTGACGACTCGGCTTGGCTTGGGACGCAGGGTCTGTCGATGTCAGAATCCGGTCTACCTAGAGAGGTGGAACCTGACTTTATATAGGACCCGTCACCTGGGGGTACCTGCGGGATAGTCAGAACTAATTCAGGTCCTTCAACCTCAGTCTGAAAGGCTTCAGTTTTTTTTGTGACGGAGGCCCGAAGTTCCGAGCGCCAAGACATGTGCCACCAAAGGTGCGAGCTTGAGCAGCCAATCCCTAGCCCATCCCATCTGTACCACTAGAGGGTCAAATAAGGCCTCTCTGTGCGGTTCAATCAAGTCGACCGAGTCGACTTCGTTGGAAGAACATTGGACTAACTGCTTTCACCTGATGCCAGACTCTCCCAGACGGTCCATGCATATGGGGCGCCCCATGGCCTTGTGGCTTTTTGGGTGTCTGTTTTCAGTCCAAACCGCTGGGGGCTACCGGGGTCGGTCGACGGGTCGAAGAAGGTCTACACCGTGGCAGCATCACATCCATACTGGGTACCGAAGAACCCAAAAGTACCTTCCAAATGCGAACCTGGGACTTGACATGACCCTCTCAAAACATCTCATTCTGCGCCTATGAAACAAAAAAACGGCACGCACCACTCTATTTCAACCTCTTAAGACACATGTTCCTTGTCCATCGTGCAACCCACCTGCCTGGGAGCCGCTCGGTTTCAACCCATCGGATCGACGGACTGTCCGCGGCCGTGGCGTCCGCGGCGTGGTTCGAGTGGCGGTCCCGAGTGGCGGTCCACGGGGCGCTGAAGCACCAAGGAGTTTGAGGGTTCACCAAGCAGCGCCCTTGTATAGCAAAATGATCAAAAACAATGGTGAAACGAAGGTTAAACCATGGTGAACAAGTGATCGTCCACTTTTGGTAGGAATGGAGTCCTGCGGTAGTTGTGGACGACTACAATGCTATGAAATCCTTTGGGGGTCTCGGAATGGCAAGATCTATATTGACTAATATTGGCTTATAGACTTATAGATCTATTGCTGTGTCCCTACCCAAGAACTTAGGTAATTGTATATTAAGGATTCGGTCAAGAGGTAGATCTTTGGGTGAAGGTGTGCTATGATCCCCTGGAATATCATGAATATATTGGGAATCCGAGAATCCCAGTAACTTGCAATATGCAAATGGTGTGGATCTTAGGGTCATGGGGGGGGGCACCGTATTCTAAAAACATTGATGGGCAGATGCCCCAAATATTCGCCAAGCCGCGTGAGGGTTGCGGTTCCGCTGGATCACCTTGGCGATGGCGGCAAATGAAATGCGCAGCCGGCATGCCCCGAGAACCCGCGAACATGCAGCGACTAGAGGAGACGAGAGCTTAGCACATACCAATGCCAAGGTGTATAATATATTACCCAAACACTCCATCTAAAGCCATATCAAAGCCATATATATGCCACCCCATTGACCCCGTTTCAACCACCCCAAGGTAGGTATATATCAATATGGCAGTCCCAATAGTCGTGTCTGGGTATGATGAGAAACGGCCACAGAGGCGTACCCCGGACACTCCATGAGATGAGAAGGAGGCAATCTAGTAGGCAACATGATGGAGTGTTTGTGACTGCGGATGGTCCACGGTGTGGCGGAAAGCTGGGACCATCCCCTTTCGGCTTCGTCATGACCACACAAGCGATCACATGGGATAGCAGCTTACATGGTCCCTTGAAAAAGGCCAGGTTCCTCTAGGAACAGGTCGTTCTCCACTTCCTTTATTTCAAGGAGTGCAGTCGGATGCTGATCCAAAACGCAAAGAAGCTCCTCCAGGAAGCCTAGAAAAATGCGTCAAGCGGTGACCCTTTGCATCGAAAAGCTCCAAACACGCGATCGAGGTGTCACAAGCGATGGTGTCTACACAGATCACACGGTGTATGTAAACAAATATCTAGGAGCACAATATGCTCCTGGTATACTATACTGTCACTTGCGTTCATGCTCAACAATTTGGGCACTGAAGAATGACGCCGGGAGGTCATATCCACGGCTTGCCTACCATCCCTGGGATATCAATATTTCTTGGATCTATCCCATTACCAGGGCCCAGTCAATGATGATGTTTACTAAAGGCCTTGTTCAAAAGAAATGGTTGTTTACGGTTACTTTCAAAGAAGGGTCAGTTTCAACAACCCCAACTGATCGGTAAATATGGCAGTCCCATTAGTCGTGTCTGGGAATCATAGGACAAACCCAGCATATTTCATTCGAAAGGAGACCAGGGAACTGGGGCCTTGGTCTCCTTCACTTCGGTCAAAAAGTGAACCGTCGCGACACCCAACCACGACAATACAATCGGTGCTAGTCTTGAAGACGTCTTCTGGTGGATGATGTACTTTTTGATGAGTGGTATGACTATGAGGTATGCAACTTCCACAGGAGTTGACTCCTTCTTCTCTGTACGAGTGGACCTGGCACCGTCTCATGTCTCAGTGTCGAACACATCACCGTACCTCAGAGGGTATGTGGAAGATGTGGATCCCTACGTTAAGCACTTTGATGCACTAGGACACAGGGTTGTCACAGACCTGTCATCCCCACAAAGAGTGAGGAGACCGATACCCAAGGAGCCACAAGTTACGGCCTGACTGAGAAGTGAACGCCCATCAACAGCAATCAATCAGAAGCCCGTGAATCATATGGTTACTTCCAATATGGCAACTGAGATCCTTTACATAGCAGTGGTTGGGACTGTGGAGACATCACTTTTGTGTTTGGTTGTTTGGTTTTTCCAGGTGGAACTTGGTTCGACAAGGCCACGGCCTTGCAGCGGCCGGCTGAGGGCCGTTGGGATACATCCCGATAGATGGACGTGTCATAAGGGAAAACTGCAGAGATCAGAGCTGACCATGTTGACCGTACTTACCTTCCCTAGGGCTCAAAGTACTTCCAGAGAAGGTCATTCGACCCTCCAAACCCACCTCGAAGACCTAGAAGGTGCTTGGAGGGCTTGGATTTTAGATGGTTTTAGTTGTTGTATTTTGGCCTCGGTTTCTACTTGGGACTGGGACTTCCGGTTCCGAAGGGGAACGGCCCGGAAGCGCTTCCGTCGGCCCGGAAGCCCTTCCACTCGAAAGCCAAGCTGCACGGGACTCGACCTCGACCTGAACGCTGCGGGGGGATGGTGTCCCGCAGCGCCAAACCGCTGCGGGACAAAGCAGCATCCGGGGGCTCCGAATTGGGCACCAACGGTAGGGAAGAAATGTTGATCCTCACTGAGTTCTTGGAACCTTCACCAACATACCCAGACACTCCAGGTATGGCGTATTTACAGTGAGGTGGTTGAAACGGGGTCAATGTAGGCAAATATGCCAGTCCCATGGGTCGTGTCTGGGATAGTTGAATCTAGCAGTTCCACACACGACCTGTCTTCCCACCTTGGGCCGTGCAGACGCTGCGCACCGGCCCTCGCCCAGCTCCGTGAGCTCCTCCGAGACCTGCCCAGAGCAGTGGAGGGGTCGCCCAACCGCTGGGCGCACCGTGCTGCCAAGAAGTTCATCAAAGCAACTACTTGAAGGCAGCCAGCAACTGCAAACATCCCAATCTTTTTTACAAATCGGCTCCAGGGATTCCACGGATTCCACGGGCAAATTCTCAGGGACTCGTCGCAGGTCCGTCGTTACCACTGCCTGAGACCAACCAGGTTGTCTCTCCCTCTGAGGGTGGCGGTGGATCCACACGTGGATCTCCACGGCTCGGACGACTCTCCAACGACCGAACGCTCGGACCCCACGTCGAACGAATTTCTAACGAGGCTGACGGCCTTGGATAAAGTGGCAGCGGTCCGCCTCTTACCTCAGATTGGGGAAGGGCAAGTTGCCCTCGACTCGCTGGGCAAAAACGGGACATAACAGGTCATGCAAGGAAGACCCAAAGACTAGTGACTAGCCTATCACTATTGGGTCAACGTTCAATTGAAGAGCCCTTGGAAGGTCCTGGAACATTTAGAACCGCTGTAGTGGATGGTCGTGCAGGGGTAACTCATCCACAAAAGGACAAATTATGTAGAACGGTTGAAGAGAGGGCTGGGTTGCTTGAGGAAATGGGCATAGGTGACCGCTGACCACAGAAAGGGAACACAACAGAGTCTCCTTTGTTGTATCCTACCCAAAGTGAGATTGAACCTGACACCCTTGTGTTCCCAGCGCAAATACGACTATAGACTATTGTAGCTAGAATTGTTGAAAAACATTCACAACTGGTGAGTGGATTAATTGGGTTAAACTGATTTTGGTTTTGCGATTTCAAAGAAAAAACACACCTCGCAAATCACCTCGGAGCTCATTTCGGACACAGTGTAAAACGCACCAACTCATTTTCCCATGGCGGTTTCGAGCACATACACATGCCTCTTTCGCGCATGCCCGAGAATCATAACAACAGAATACAAGCAGTTTGTATACATGCCTCACATAAAGCTCATCATTGAGAGCCTTTGCAAAGACTCAACATGCGTGAACATATTTGACATTTGTTCGCACAACTTGATGCTTAAGACACCCATTCAAACATCAGTGTGCAAGCTTCTCACCAGTGACCCTGCGAACATTTTTTCGACTATCCAAGCTGAGCACAACCTATTGAACCCTTCGGCGAACCTCCCGTCTCTGCCAAGTGACCCTTTGGATTCTTCTGCACCGCCGGCCCCAGCGGCTCATCCAGGAGGCCCGGGAGAAGTGGCGGATCCTCAAGACATCGGTCGTGACCGGTAGAAACGCGAAGACGTGCGGAGGATGCCCATATGACTAGAAGATGTTCCGCTCCAAAATCCAGGCCGTGGTTTTGGGATGATTAAATGATCAATATGGTAAAGATTCCATGTTTTATGGATTGTTGGGGGCTATGGCTATGGATCTGGCATCTGAACTTTCCAAGAAAGGCTTTTGGCAATTTCTGAGAAGCAGCGGTCGAAGCTGAAGAGGTCGGGCCCATTTGCGGGTTGGGAGGTTTTCATCACAGGAGCTGCGAACTCAAGACCTGACAACTCTTCACCCCATGGATGCAAGCTATGGCCCAAATCTCGCTTCAACAAATCGAGTAAAGGTCGTTTGGTGGACCCCTTTTGGAAAATCATCCTTCTGGGCCTTTGGAATCATCCTTCTAGGCCCAGGGCTCTATTCAAATCCACTCTTGCCTTGGTCATCAATGCCCTTTTGGGTGGTGACGAAAACATCGCGCGCGGGTCGACAACGGCTTTTCATTGGGCTTGGTAGGGAAAGAAGCTAACAACATATACAAAAGCGACGGCGCATGGCCCTTTGACAGAGTCAAAGTCAAACAAATCAATGGGTGAGCCTCCTGCTTGAGACATACTATGCCCTGCATGTGCAACAATGTTGGGTCTACCTGGTCTTTCCAATGAGTGATAGACTCAGCCCCCTGCAAACCGACATAGCACAACCAGTCAAGATCAGTCAAGGATTCACCAATGGCTGTGGGTCATGGCATCAGGATGCCGACCAGTTTACCTACCCAGGTGTCGGTTGTTCACTACATGGCGGACCATCGCTCTGGGTGAGAAAACCCATCGTCAATCAATTTGCAGTTTGGGATTCACCCACAGGGAAACTCCAAAATTACAAGCAAAACGCATGTGTATGTGAAATCCCGGAGACCTCCCAACCAAATGGTTCTCTCCTACCTACAAACGCACTCACTGCTCACACCATAAAGGATCTCCTACCAACTCTTGCTCGCCGCTCGCACAGGGCGAACAAAAGAGCCAAAGGAGCCAGAAATCACTCACTTTAGTACTTAAGTGAGTCAAAGAAAAACAAGGTACTTAAGGAGCTCTACAGGGATGGCGGCCCACTTTTGTGGAGTCGCACTTCACCGCTTCAAAAGGTCTCCATCCGTACGTCCAGATCTTCAGTTCTATGGTGATAGCTGATAGCGGGGGGGATGAGGCGTGGGTGGGTGCCAGAGGGGTCTACAGTGAAACTTTGGCCGTGAGGAGGTGCTTGCAGCCCTTGGGCACTTCAAGCAGCCGGTCAGCCTCGGTCGGTGGAACCAACCCTGCGAGGCTACGGAGCGCGCCGCGCTTCGGGCCCCACGGGGAATGAGTCGGAGAGTGCCAAGGCGCTTTGGGAATGGGAATCTCCATGAAGTGTCCATTCTGCTTCCTGGGTGTGCGGATGGGTCGGAGCCCAAATCTTGGGCCATGTCACCGATACCGCCTATACAGTATAGTTATGTTTCAAAAGATGGTTGTCAATATCTCTAGTGGATGATAGTGCATGTCATAGGTTTTGAATGGCTTTGAACATGACATGTTGTCCATCACAACTCTGAAGAATTGAATTGAAAGCTCTCGAAAGTAGAACGTTGGATTGCAAGAGTCCAAGAACCCATACGTCACATCCTCCCATAAGTTGGCTCCAACAAAACTGAGGGTGACGTTTGGATGAGATTCAGGGTCACACAGGTGGTCATACATACACAGTTTCTCTTGTGCACCTTCCAGAATACCACAAGTGGAAGAGCTGTTTTCGTGGCGGGAGAAGCATCACAAGTTGGTGGGATCCGTTCCAGGCCTTTCTTGATCATATATCATATATCCCATTACCAGTGCCCAGTGGATGATGATGGTTAGGTTGCAGGCCTTTCTCAAAAATAGATAAACACAATGATAGTGATACTCTTTTACCGACTGGGACAGACCCTACCTAGAACCCATGTAACCCTATTAACCCCCCCTGTCTCGATAGGGATGTGGGACAGGAGCCCTAGGGCCTAGGGGCTTGTACCTGAATAAGGACCAACAATCACACCAGTGTCATGCAAACAAATACATTGAAATTATTTGAACGTCTTGAAGGATTCAAACAAACAAAAACACCGTAAACACGATGTGTCCATAGGGGCATGTTGTTGCGGCTTCAAACCACCAAAGGGTCCGCTCCAAGGACCGTCAGCCTTCAACATCCTCGTTCGCTCCGCTCCGCTCGCTCCAAGGGTCGACTCGGCGAGAGCTTTCAAGTCCAGAATCAAGGAATGCAGTTCTTCCAGAACGAGACCTGAAGAAGTTTCCCCCAGACGCGCAAGTCGGAACGAAGAGGGAAGTGGAGGATGGTAGGATGGTGCAGAAATGGTGAGCACAACAAAAACAAAATCTGAATTGTCAAGCTATAGCCCCCCAAAACCATCCGACTGTCTGGTTTTGGAAGGAACCGGCTGCCCGGGTGTATGCACAAACAAACAGCCCAGAAACATAGATGGTGGAACATGACAAATACATTGTAGAGACATTAACAAATTTAATTCTGAGTTAACACAAGCCAGCGGATGATGAAGGCTAGTAACGTCCTTACCCCAAAACAGTGATAATCCTTTGCCCGACTGTTGCTCTTCGTGGGACGCTGGGCCAAGTGAACCCTTTGCTTCTGGACATTCCAACATGCACAGCGGAAGGCCGTGACCAAGTGATTGGAGGCCTTTTTGGGGGTCCGGCCCGAAGTGGTCTGGGTTCTCCCTCTGGTATCGCAGTTCCTGCAGAATGCAGTAGAGAAGCCGCCTGCCAAAAAGGACTGATGTGGCATGGTGGTTTATGAGAGAAATGAAGGGCCAGGGGCCGCCGGACAAATTCAAGCCCCCAGATGAAGGGAGCTATACCATGCTATACCTTATACTTATAGCGAATCCCTGTCTGGAGGTCATGTGAAGTTGGATTGAAGACTTGCGATCGTGGAAGCCCTTTTTGTTCGAGGAAAACCAAGTGCGAAACAACTTCGTACTGTTTGTGGGTTATGAGCCCAAATTAGCGCTTAGGTTGGTGCCATGTCAGAACCGCCTAGCGAGAGAACCCCGGAGTCGGGGGGGCAGAAAGCTTTAGAGGACATCCAACCAGAGCATGGAGCGTTGGTCCTTCCTCAGGGTGCGCCGGTCTCGCTTGGCCCGCAGATAAACCCGTTTTGGAGCGAGACAGCCAGGGATGAGGCAATCCTTCGAGCTTGTCGCCCAGCTCACCTTCCGCAAGAAAGTCAGGAAGGTCCTTCACAGGTCCCCTCGGTCAGTCCTCCAAGGGAGCCCTCAGAAGCGCTCAAAGTCATGATGAGTGGTTTGCTGCAAGAGAACGCCAGGCTCTGGAGTGAAAGGGAAGCGTTCGCGGCGAGTCAGAATGCTTGGAGACAACAGGCATCTTCGTATGGACCTCCTCAATCGTAGCTGGGCAATGTGTTGGGTGAGGGCATGGGGCATGAGAGAAATGCGATGAGTGCGCTCATGGAAGTCATGAGATCATCTTGGAATGCACCCCAGAAAGATCGAGGGTTGTTAGGTGCTTTGGCCAATCCACCGGAGTATGGACATGGGGGATTTTTTCCACGGCACGATCAGGGATTTCCTGGAGGGTGTGGTGCAATGGCGAAGGGGAGCCTGATGGAGCTGTTTAACATGGTGGCTAGTGGCACCTCGGCTGGTCAAGCCTCGCTTCAGGGTATGATGGATGTTGGGAGGAATGTGGTAGGCTCAGGGTCGTCGAGTTTGCCATCGGAAAGATCGTTGGGAGCAAGGGCGCTGGCTGCTTCGGAGGAGACCAGGGCGAACCCTTCGAGCAGTGGGCTTGCTTCAGGTGCTCTTCGTCCTGAGTCCCAAGGAGGTTCTGGTGTTCCTGGGGGGCAACCTGGTGATGGTCAAGAAGTCCCTCAAGTTCAAGGCGGTTCCGGTGTATACCATAGTGATCCTGGTGGTCCTGGTGAAGGGAGACCAAGTGGTGCTCTGGGTGGAGATGGTCCTGGAGGTGGTCAACCCCAAAGAGGTGGAGGTCAAGGCAATTTCCCTGGAGGTGGAGGATTTCCAGGTCGTGGAGGGTTCCCAGCAGACCTTCCTGGAGGCGGTGCTTTTCCGAATGGTCCTCCAGGCGGTGGTGCTTTTCCGAATGGTCCTCCAGGCGGTGGTGCTTTTCCGAATGGTCCTCCAGGCGGTGGTGGATTTCCAAATGGTCCTCCGGGAGGTGGTGGCTTTCCAGGTGGTCCTCCCGGTGGTGGTGGCTTTCCAGGAGGTCCTCCAGGCAATGGAGCCATGTTGGGAGGGTACGGACCTGTGCCAGCTTGGTTGGGTGGCCTGATAGCGCAGCAAGAGTCGATCCGTGCAGTAGACCTACCAGTGTTGCCGGAACTTTCCGAATCCGAGGTTGGACCTTTGGTGGCGGGAGACTGGATCACTACGGTGGGCCCGTTCATGCGTGACATGAGCAGCAGTTCGTCCTTGTGGTGGGATGAGGTGCTTCGAGTTGCCGGAGCACTTTATCGAGTGTGGTTGGAATCCGAGCCGATGGAACGCTTGAGATTGGTGCCGGTGTCGCCTCCAGCGTTTCAGGTGCCGCCATGGCTCAGGATCGAGCAGAGAGGATCTGTTGCACTCCTGAAGGCTTTGCCAGAGTCCCTGAGGTCAGAGCTGGTGGCGCAGAGAGAGGTCAGCTCCATCGGCATTATGTTCAAGATCCTCCGGGTTTACCAGCCGGGTGGCTTAGGCGAGAGAACCACCCTCTTGAAGCAACTGGTGGATCAGAAAGTTCCCACTCCTTTGAGCGACTGGATGTTGGCCCTCAGATCATGGAGGAGATGGTTGACGCGTGTGCAGGAGCTTGGAATTCAACCACCAGATCCAGTACTGCTGTTATCCACGTTGGATAGGTTTGCTGCAGGACTTGCCCGTCACTCCTCGCAGGTGGCGTTTCGATTGCAGGTGACAAGAGCTGCACTCAGGGTGGATACTGCACCTACAGAGAGAAGCATTCACCAGTTCTCAGAATCTTTGCTGGCGGAAGGCGAAGCAGTATTCCATGGTGGGTCCACGTTGCCGATCAAGGAGACGGTCAAAGTGAAGGCCCTGGACACGGAGCAGGTGAATGTCAGGGAGGATGTGATCAAGAAGGACGGCAAGGACAAGTCCAAGGATGGCTCAGACGCCAAAGACCCTCGAGATGGCAAAGATCACAAAGGTGGCAAGCATGATGTCAAGGGGGGAAAGGCAGAGAGCAAACCCACATCCGGAGAGAAACCTGTTTGCAGATACTTTGTGTCGGACGCTGGTTGCAAAAAGGGGCACAAATGTTCCTTCCCACATGAATGGAAGGGGGTGTCAAAGGTTGGAAGATGCTGGAACTGTGGCTCGACTCAACACATGCGAGCAGACTGCCCGGTGAAGGAGGCACCGCGTGTGAAAAAGGAGTCGACTGGTGACAGGAAGGGAGGAGAGAATGATCCCAAGGCCAGTGACACTACGACCCCAGCAGATGCGACCTCGAGCACGTTCCATCCTCCTGCAATGCCGGAAGCCGCGCCTGCAGAAGCTCTGGTCAAGGAGGCTGTTCAGTTGTTGAAGTCCTTGAGGCCGTCCGTTCGAGCAGTGACAGTATGTGCGGTCAACAAGGGCAATGGTCACACCCGAGCACTTCTCGATGGTGGGGCCACACACATCTTGCGCCCAGCAAGATCCAAGGCCGAATATGAGCAGGCAGTCCCCATCAAGGTTGAGCTAGCGGCTGGGGTGGCAACATTACGCCAGGTGCAAACGACCGGAACCCTTGTCACGGACTTTGAGACTCAGCTGATTGTGCCGCTTGGGAAGGTGGTGAGGCTGGGCTATAAGGTGACGTGGGAGGGGGAGCAGTTTGAGTTGGTCGATCCAGGAATTGGAGATGGACCGAAGGGTCAGGGCGTTGAGAGCTGGTGATCCGGGAGATTTGCCCCCAAACATTTGGCGGTGGCTTGTTGATCTTCGCAAGATGTGGCCTGAAGTTCCAGATGAGCTGCTAGCGAGAGTTGTGCCTTCTGGTCGGTGGTCCGGGGAGTCAGTGCCCTTCAACAGGCATCAAAGAAAGCGTGTCTTCTCGGCGGACTCCGTGATTTTGCACCTCTTCTCTGGACCTGATCAATCATGGTGGAGGAAAAGATTGGAGTCTAATGCAAGAGCGGTCATCTGTGTGGACAAGATGGTCGACCCAGCCCAGGATTTGCTCTCGGACCAGCTGGCGAGCTTCTTGGCAGATTTGTGTGAAAGGGGATCGGTGGATGCCATTTTGGGAGGCCCGCCTTGCCGGACGGTGTCCAAACTTCGTTTTCGCCAACCGGGTCCACCTCCTCTCAGGGCCAGATCAGGGCCGGAACGCTTTGCTCTGGAGGCACTGTCTGATGTTCATCGAGACTTGGCCTGGAATGATGCAGTGCTATGGATGCGTCAGTTGTGGCTATATGCTTTAGCTTCAGCTGCAAGGACGAGGCTGGTTTTGTTCTTGAAGGAGCATCCACGAGACCCCGAGGAGTACAAGGATCGAGGTGATCCGGTGGAATATCCGTCCTTTTTTGCCTGGCCGGAGTGGAAGGTGTTCATCGAGAAGCACCACATTCAGGAGGTCCGATTGGATCTGGGAGCGCTTGGCCACGAACGTCGAAAACCCACGACCCTGGGCACCAACATTCGGTATCTTCACCGGCTTGAAGGTCTTTCCGATCGACGACGACCAGGGGATCTTCCAAATGTGTCTGGTGATTTGGGGCAGAGGACTTCAGTGAGTCGCTCGTGGGCAGCGTGGCCGGAGGCCTTCAAGACGGAAATCATCAAGGGCATCCTGTTTGAGCTCGAGCAGGGCAAGGCTAATGGTCGGGGAGAAGAAGATCAAAGGGTAGCCAAGTTAACGTCTGAGCAATGGCATCAACATGTGATGAATGATCACCTTCCGTTTTCCAGGGAATGTCCAACATGCCTTCAGGGGAGTGGCCGGAGCCGTCCGCACAAGAAGGTACCACATCCAGATGCTTTGACGCTGAGTGTGGACATTTGCGGCCCTTTCAGACCTGGCCATGATCGTGGGGCGAAGACTAAGTACTTCATGGTGGGGGTCTTCTCAATCCCAGTGAAGAAGGTGGAGGGCAAGATCACTTCGTTGCCATTGTGCCTGGAGGAGACGTTAGGAGCTAAGGAGGATGAACGGGAACAAGAAGATGAGGAGTTGCTTCCAGCCGTGGAGGAAGAGGAGCTGGAGGAATCTGACAGGAGAGAAGAAGACGCCAAGGGC